CTCCATGTTCTTTACTCTTCTTGAGGAAGAAAAATAAATTAGTTAGTCTAAAATAAGTAAAACCAAGAAAGCTATTCCTGGTGCCAATCGTTCTGTTATTTGTTATGCTATTTATTTTATAAAAGAAATTACCTTTTTAAACCATCTCATTTATTTATATCTAAAGGACTTTGCCTAAACTGAAGATAAATGGAGGTGAACGTTATTACAAAGTTGGGAGAAATCACTTTCCAGCCTTTAAAGGATGGAGGAGATTTTCGTCAATGCCTTTGTGAAATCCTTTTAATATCCTGGGAATGCAATCATGTTTCTATATCTTTTAGAATAAACTTTAGAAATTATCTATTGTTTTACATATGAGAATGCTGTGACTTTTGCAAAAATCGCCCAGTTCTTTGGTGGCTGATTCAATCAGATGTCAATGTTAGCTCAGTATGTAGAGTGGACTTTGGAGGTAGATATATCCAGACTTACAGAATATTTCCCAAGGCAATAGCATATTTTGTTTCCTCTATTCACTTTTTCCTTTCTCTTACCATGTCACTTAGAGGCTAAGAAAGTCTAAGAAGAGCCCTCCCTTCTCCCAAATATAATAACCTTCAAACTGGAATGGGCCTCTGATGTAACTAAGAACTGTGCCACATCAAATAAACAACAAAGAAATAAATCACAAACTTATTAGGCAGGATTTTAATACGTATTCTATTTTATTTTATTTTAATACGTCCTTCTATTTTATCTCACAGTCACATGCTGCTACACTTTGATTTGAAAGATGCTTCTAGCACATGTAAATTTACTCCCATTGATGGATCAGTTGCTTAATCTCAAAATTGCATCTGAGTACTATCTTGTTCTAAGATCTATGGTGGCAATTTGTAACTTGATGAAAGAGAATATACAGTAGCATCTAGCAGATATTTGCCTCTGGCTTCTTGTGTGACAAGACTCTGTGACTTCTGGAATTGCTTCAAGCTTCTGAGCTCCCAAGAAGCATCCTTGACCAAAAACAACAACACACTTGCTGACTTAAGAGAGCATTCTTGAGGTTGTTATTCCAGAATCCAAGAATCATTAGGACCTAAGGTAAACCCAATGTTTTCCAACTGGTGATTTTTTTCATTTGCTTCTAATTCATTGTCATCGTTGTATAAGAATGACCTAACCTACACAGGATACAGACTTATTTGCTTATTCTGTCATGAACTGTCATGAACTATCCCAGGCAACTAGAGCCTCAGCCCATGGCTGGGCAAAGTATTAACTTTTGGCATTGTACCTAATTCTATTCTTGCCACAAATTAATATTATAAACCATTTTCAGTTTTTAAAACTCAAAACAGAGATATAAAAACCGAAGTATTAAAATTGCATATAAACACTAGAAATTCCTTAACTATCTCAATGTACAAAACCTAATTGCCTTCTCCCATGGCCTTTGATGCTCTTTCCTCTTGAGAAGGCATGCTCAGGGGGAACTTATTTGAGAGTTAGATTTCCTAGACTTCAAAGGACTCCATGTAGAATATTAGAGGTGTCGAGAAATATATTTCCTTGCTTTTCCTAACTGGGTTCTAAGAAGCTAGCAGACTTACTGGAGCTATATTGAAAAAAAGAGGTCAAAAAAGAGCATTAGAAATTTACTGTAACGTCATTAGGAAAAGGGAAAGCAACCCTTTTCACTGACTTGATTATCTTCTTGCTGGGGTCTGCAAGCCGCAGTAAGTGATACACACATGAAAGCCCTCCTTTCGATGGCTTCCGACTCTAATTTGATTTAAATTTCTTTTGTTCATTTTCAGCTTGAAAATGAAGGGAGGGGCTATGTGTCAAAGAAACCTCAGTCCTACAACTGCAAGAAACTGTATTCAGAAAATCACCAGTGAGTTTGTAAGCAGATTCTTCCCTAGAGCCTCCAGGTAAGAGCCCAGGCTGGTTGACACCTTGATTTCAGGCTCTATAAGGTACCAAGCTGAAAGGACCTAGCTGAGCCATGCTGTGCCCAGATTCTGAATTCATGGCCTATGAGATAATGAATAGATATTGTTTTAAGCTGTTAAGTTTGTGGCGATTTGTTATGATAGCAACAGCAAATAAATATTGAGTGTTAAAATGCTATTATAGTCAGCCCAAATTTGGCAATGAACTTACTGCTTTTGACAGCCAAAAAACCAAGTGGCAATTTAATATTCAGAACATGAGGTCTTCACATAGTAAGCTTTTGTAAACAGAATATCTGGACTATTCTTTTGGCTTCCTAAAGGCAATCGCTCCTTCAGCACATTTGTCTTAAGGGCAATTACTTTCCTTGTAGGCTAGGCAGCAAGCAGTATCTAATATTCACCTATCAATCTCTGGTAACTAGAAAGCACTGCCGTCTCTTTTCTTTGTTCTCCTTCTAGAGAGAAATCTGTCTATGTATAAGAAACTTAGTTACAAGCCTCAGAAAAGAGCCATAGACACCCCATTGCCATATTCTGGCAGACTTTAATCTGTTACATATTGTCAAATCTCAACATTTAAATTAAAATAGACTTTTAAATGTGATTTCTGTTCAGCCATTTTTCACCTTGTGGACATTTAATTCCTTTACTTAAGGTAAGCATGGAGGAGGTTTCTCAAAAGTTTATGAACCCTACACATATAGTGGAGCCCCCAAGCCCTTGAAGTAAATGAGACCAGTGCATTATTAGTTTGCTAGGGCTGCTATAACTAAGTACCACAGACTGGGTGGCATAAACAACAGGAATTTATATCCGCATAGTTCTGGAGGCCTGAAATTTAAGATTACGGTTTTGGCAAGGCTGATATCTTCTGAAGGCCTCTCTTCTCGGCTTGCAGATGGCCATCTTCTTCCAGTGTTTTCACATGGTCCCCTCTATGTGTCTGTGTCCCAATCTCCTCTTCTTATAAGGATATCAGACCTATTGGAATAGGTTCCACCCCAATGACCTCATTTAACCTTCATTACCTTTTTAAAGACTCTGTCTTCAAATACAGTCACATTCTGAGGTACTGAGGATTAGGACTCGGTATATGACTTCTGAGGGGACATAATTTAGCCCATAACAGATGACATCCAGTTACTTCAGGAGTATAGCCTCATTTATTCATGGCCCTTCCAGTCAGGGCATTAGAAACTTTCTCACTGTGGCCATGGAGTTCCAGAAGAGGTTTATCTCTCATGTAGGAAAGAGAGTATAATAGATATATCCACAAAAATGATGTGATAGGAAGTGATAGAGCCATAATAAAGTAAGGTCTCCTGATATAAAGTCCAGTAGCCCTTCTATTGCATTGTACCATTATTACTAATTTATAGCAGAAAGCTTCTCAAGAAATCATATATATTCTGTTAGAGTGACTAGGATATTCCATTAAATTAGAAAACCATCAGCATTTCTCCATTCAACTGTTTATCTCTCTTAGACTCTCTTCATGCTTCCTGAAGTATCCATACAATGGAGATGATATATTTTATTTAATTTCATGTATTTCTTTCACTGAACATAAAAGCTAATTAAAATAATCCTTGACATTTATTGAGTTGAGATGTAGCAAACGCTGTACAGAGTGGTTTACAAACATTACCTTATTGAACTCACAATACTCTATGAACTAAATACTATGATTACTCCAATGTTACAGAAAAGGAACCGAGGTTTAGAGACTCTATATCTTACCAAAAGTCACACTACCACTAGATAACAAACAGCGCCAGATATATCAAGGTCTACGCAACTGCTTCTTTGCTGATGATTAGCTTCAGAATATAAAAGGCAAAACTCCTATCATAGAATCAAGAAAAGTGGCATCACTATTCATGAGCTATCATATACAATGCAAAAATATATTGACAAAAGATAACTCAGTAATTGTATTACTATACAACATAAACTTTGGCCATCAACCTGGCATTACAAAGCTTTTGTGCTTCTGTGTGTGAAACATGTCATGGGTCTTTAAACGTGGGAAATCCCTTTCTATTTTATACTAAATTATAATATTCTTTATAAATAAAGCATTACATTCACATATCAAACATGAAATTAATAATAGAATATAATCTTCAGACAAATGAGAAACTACCCTGGTACATAAGTCAAAATCATTAAGATAATGGCTATGATTACTTACATCTGAAACAATATTAAAAAGGAATAGGCATTTTCAAGAGGAAAAACGTGAACATCAATCAGTGCTTTAGAATAAACAGGCCTACATAGAAAGCGAATCTATTCCAATATTTTCCCAGGAATTAAAATTAAGCCAAAACTCACCTAGTTAACTTGCTAGAAAAAGAAAAATTCAATATTTAAATGACACTACAAATGCCAGTTGACCAATTTCAAGTAAATTACTACTTCTTAGTAATATTTTTATTTATCTAGTATTTTTCTGGCAGTCTGTGAAAAGCAACAGCTCTCTTTTCTTCTCAAGCTTTGAATTGAAACAAACTTCTCTGCAAATTTAGCGCCACGACCAGGACTCCAGCTTTTTTGAAAGCCTGGTGGTCTGCTTAGAAGTGCTTCAACAGCTAACCTCACCTCAAACTGTGAAATGGCACAACGCCCTCTGCTGGTTAAAAGCCTGGGGCCACAGCATAAAAACCCTTCAAAAAGGTGAAATAAAGATTCTAGATAAACATGTACTGTGAAAACTTTCTACCAGTACATCTGCACTAAGAGAAATGTTAAAAGAAAATTTTGGAGCAAAGGAAATTATACTGGATGGAGACTTGAATCTATGTAAAAGAATGAAGAACACCAAAATTGTAAATATATGAGTAAACATAAAAGAAAATTGTCCTCATTTTCAAATTACTTAAAAAATAAGTGGCTTTCTTCTCTCTGTTTCACATATTGTTATACAGTGCCAGCCACATCCTTGTCAGAGTAAACAGATTTATTCATTTGGGGTGCCCAGATGCTAATGGTTGCTTTTAAATTCAACAAAGAGGAGACCATCACTACCAATGACTCCTTCATTGCATAAACTACATGGCCTACATGTTTCCAAATAATTTTACACATAGCAACTTCAGGAGTGTAGTCAAGGCTGAGAATAAGAAGCTTGTCAACAATTGGAAGGCCATCTCTATATTCCAGAAGCAAGATGCCCCCAACGTCAAATGGGATGATGCTAGTAATGAATATGTTGTGAAGTCCATTGAACCTGGGGCTCACTTGATGATAAAAGGGTCATCATCTCTGCCCTTTGTTGTAACATCTGAATATTTATGGTGCTCCGCTCTCAGCACACTTTCCATCCCAGATTTCCTGAACTATGAGAAGTATAACAACTTTTTCAAGATTGTCAGCAATGCCTCCTGTACCACCAGCTGCTTTGCTTCCCTGATGAAAGTCATCCTAGATGATTTTGACATCATGGAGGAACCACAGTCTGTCTCCTCACTGACACTCAGAAGACTGGATAGCCCATCTGGGAAACTGGTATGACAGTGTGGGCCTAATCAGAACATCATTCATGCATCTAATGAAGCTGCCAACAGTATGAGTGAAGTCATCCCTAAATTGAATGGGAAGTTCACTAGCATGGTTTTTTGTGTCCCCACCCCCAATATGTTGGGTATGGATCTAACTTACCACCTGGAGAAAGTTACCAAGTATAATGACATCAAGAATGTGATAAAGCAGGTGTCAGAGGGCCTTCTCAAGGGCATCTTAGGCTACACTGAGAATCTTCATGTCTCCTGTGACTTTAACAATGACACCTACTCTTCTACATTCGATTCTGGGGCTGTCATTGTCCTTGGTGACCACTTTGTCAAATTAATGTCCTGATATAATGATGACTTTGATTACAAAACAGGATGGTGTATCTTATAGTCCAAATGGCCACCAAGAAATATAAGTTCCTTGGACAACCAATCCCAGTAATAGCTAGAGAGGAAGAGAGAGGTCTCCAGCTGCTGGGGAGTGTTTTCCTTAACTTAGTCTCCTAACACACTGAGGATTTTCCATTTTCAATCCAGTTTCCATCACATATTCTCTAAAGAAGGGAAATGGCTTAGAGAGCCTTACTTTGGCACATACCATTAATATAGTGTACTATACCCTACAGAAAATATAATTGACTGTTTAAAGCAAGAATAAAAAAAAAACATGTTGTTATGGTAGGATTTGTATTGTATGACACAGAGAACAGAAAGGAGGAATAGCAGTATATTGTCATAGAGTAGAGAAGAGATATAATATTTTTGAAAGTCAATATGTATATACCCTAGACACAGGGCAATTCCTTAAAAAATAAAGTTGATCATAAGTTGAGTAGAGATAAAACAATATTCAAAAATATTCAACCAAAGAGATACAAGAAAGAATATGAAACAAAAAACAACAATGAAACCCTGAAACAAATAGAAAACACAGAGCAAGATCATAGATTTCACAAAATCACATGGACAGTTACAATAAAGTTAAGTGGGCAGGTTGAACTTAAAAAAAATAAAAGACTCAATAAGAATTACACTTTAAATGTAAAAGCACAAAGGGTTCAAATAAATGGATGGGGGAAAAGATATATTATACAATCACTAAGTATAAGAGAGTTGGAGTAGCTATATTATCAAAGTATATTTCAAAACAAGGAATATTATTACAGGAAATAAAAGAACTTATCATGATGATAAAGTAGTCAATCATGAACAAAGCATAACAACCCTAAATGGACATGTATCCAAGAACAAAGCTAAAAAACAAAACAAACAAACAAAAAAAAACCACTAAGCAAAAATAGAATTGAAAGAAGCAGAAAACTCTGCAATTATAGTTGCAGTTTTCAAAGTTCCTCTCTCAGGAATTCATAGAAAAACTAGACAAAAGATCATTATAGATACAGGAGACTTGAATATCACCAATGAACTAATTGATAATTACCAAACACTCTAGCCAACAGAAGCAGAATATGCAATAGCACTGGAAAAGTTACCATAGACAAAGTGAACCTGAGACAAAGTAAATCTCAACGGTTTTAAGAGACAGTTTTAAACTTATTATACTCAGTAATAATAGCGAACATTTTTATTGTGATAAACATACATTATGTAAAACTTACCATTACAATTTAGTAGTATTATATATATCCATACTGTCTAAAATTTAAAATATTAAAATAAATCAACATATATTCTCTGACTACAACAGATTTAAATAAGACATCAATAACAAAAAGCTATCCAGAAAATCCCTCAATATGCAAAAATGAAAGAAAACACTTTTAAATATGCAAGAGGTTACAAGATAATTTAGAAAATATTTGAACTAAAAAAATGAAAGTATAACATATCAAAACCTTAGTTGCAGCTAAAGAAGTGCTTAGGTGGGAATCTATAGCTTTAAATGCTTATATAAAAAAAGAAGATCTAATATTCATGATTAGAACTTCTCTTAAGAGAGAAGCTAGTAAAGAAGGGAAAATTAAACCCAAAGAGGTAGAAAGAGTGAAAATCAAAAACACAGCAAATAGACAAACAATAGAGAAAATCAGTGAAATCAAATGCCGGATCCTTGAAAAAATCGGTTAAATTGATCTAGCGAGGCCAGTAAAGAAAAATACAGAAAAGATATAAATTATCAATATTTTGTAAATCAAAGAAGGTATATCACTACAGAAGCTACTGATATTGAAAGGAGTATCATAAGGGAGTATTATGAAAACCTTACCCCAATAAATTTGGCAACATAAATAAAATTATTTGAAAAATACAAATTACCAAAACTGACTCAAACAATAAAATTGAGTATGGTTATGTATACTCAATTTATAGAAATAGTCTGTAATTTAAAATCTTCCCACAAAGAGAATTCTAGTCCCAGAAAAACTCTAAAGAAAATATCAGCAAATCAAATCCAGCAATATTAAAATACACCATAACCAAGGATAATTCATCTAAGACCATAAGGTTGATTAAACATTCAAAGTTAAATATAATTTAATAAGAGAAAAAGTATATGATCATTTCAATAGATGCGGAAAAAGTATTTAACAAAATCCAACACCCATATATGATTTAAAACAAACAAACAAACAAACAAAAAACCTCAGCAAACTAGAAAGAATATCAGGAATTTACTCAACCTGATAAAGAGACTCTGAAAAATCCAAAACAAACATACTTAATGGAAAAAACTAAATGTTTTCTCCATGAGACTAGTAAAAGGCAAAGATGTATCTTGCCTTTTCAATTTAATGTTGTACTGTTAAGTTCTAGTAAGGACAATAGCATAAGATATATAGCTGTCTATTTACACATGACATAATCATCTATGCAGAAATCACCAAAAAGCTAATAAAATAATTTAACAAGAATTTAAGCTGCAAGGCCAATATATATAAATCAACTGCATTTCTGCATGCTAGCAATGAACAATCAGAAAATAAAATTTTTACTCCAGTATATGATCCAGAAATGTGAAATATTTAGGGAAAAATCTGTCAAAAGATATGTGAGATCTGTACACTAAAAACCATTAAAACATTGTTCAGAGAAATTAAAGAAGACTTAAAGGGAGATATAAGCTATGTTAATTGAATACAAAATTTGAGATTGTTAAATTGTCATTTCTACCCAAACTGATCTATAGATGCAACAAATTCCAGTCAAAATCCCAGAAGACTAATATTTATAATTTTAAAAATTTTTATGGAAATGGAAAGAAATTAGAAGGGCTAAACGATTTTGGAAAACCAAAATGGAAGTTGGAAGACTAAATCTACAGTAATCAAAGTAAAGTAGCAACAAAGTAAAAAGAAATATATAGATCAAAAGAATAGAAAATAAAACTCAGATACAGATTCATACATGCATTGTCAGTTTAGTTTTAGTATAGATGACAAGGTAATTAAGTGGGGGTAAAGTCTTTCCAATAAATGGTGCTGGAACACTTAAATATTCATATGGAAACAACTGAAACTCAACCATTACCTGACACCATACATAAATAATAGTTCAAAACAGCTTATCAGTCTTTGAAATTTCTAGAAAGTAAAAAAACAGGCATAAATCTTTGCAAGCTTGGAGAAGGCAAAGATTTCTTTATAGGATACAAGCATAAATTACAACAAAATGTTGATATATGAGGATATAATGACTTCATAAAATATAAAAACTGCTTTTCAATAAAAGCTGTTAAGAACTGAAAGGACAAATTACAATTTGGTAATACATATATCTGACAAAGGAATTACAGGTTGAATATATAAAGAGCTCTAAACTTAAAAAAAAAAAAGGATATATACATACACACATCCACATACACACAATTTAAAATGCCCATAAAGTTCCAAACACTTAACAAAAGAAGATATTGAAATGGCCAATAAGCACATGAAAAGATGTTCAATATTAAGTCAGACTACAGACTAACGAGGATAACTAAATTAAAAAAGAAAATACCAAGTGATGAGGAGTGTAGAGCAACTGGCACTCTACACTGCTGGTAGGAAAATAAAAAGGCACAACTATTCTGGAAAATAGTTTGAGAGTTTCTTAAAAAATTAAAGATATACCAGAAATTCTATTCTTAGGTATTTATCTAAAAGAAATGAAAACATATATCCTCAAATACTTGTTTTTGAATGTTCATAAGCAGCTTTATTCTCAGTTTCCAAAATTTGGATTGTGGTATATCCATACAATGGAATATAAGTCTGCAGCAAAATAACAACAACAATAATAGTAATGATAATAATAATATGCTATGGATGCAGCAGTAACACAGATGAATCTCAAAAATGTTATGCAGAGCAAAAGATAAACACAAAAATTGCATACAGCATAATTCCATTTAGATGAAATTCTGGAAAAGGCAAAGCTATTTTACTGTGAGAAATAAGTCTTTGGTTACCTGGGCCAGGGGTAGGAGAAATTGACTGTAAGGAACACATGGGTATCTTTTTGGGGGGATGCTGGAAGTGTTCTCTGTCTTGATTTGGGTGGTATACATGAGTTTTAAATTTGTTAAAACTCATACTGTACACTTAAAATTGGCATATTTTATATGTAAATTATACTTCAATAAAATGTGAAGGGAGAAAAAAAAACCTATAGAACTTTTTCCAATCTATATGATCATAATTCTCTCTTTTCAGTTCAATTTCCATAAAACTCCTACTCACTTCCTCCATGTCCCTGGTATTTACCTTTTGACCTTTTTCTCTTGAGAAGCTATTTCCTTTCTCTAATCTGGGATCTTCTTGTTACCACCACTAACCTGACCCCAGATCATTCTGGAAAGTAAGATACAGATTTCTCAACTTTGCCCTTACTACTTTCCCTCGCCATTTTTACTAGACTTATATATCTTTGTGAGGAATAATAGTCATGTAAATTTCTATTTGAAAATCTTTAGAAATCAAAGCCTGAACTCAAGTGTCTGACATTTGTTTGTCATATTCTCATCTGAGCCTATTTTCCTCTATGTGCTTTATGCTGCATTAAAATTAAAATGCTCATTGTTTTTCATAAACAGCCCACGTTTTTCCATCTCTGACATTTTTTTCATGAGTATGATCTCCTGGAATGTCTTTCCTTCATAAAACCTCATAATGCAAATCCATCCTTCCTTCCTTCCTCCCAGGTCCAACTTAAAAGTCACTTCCAAATGATTCTCACTTCCCATAAACTCCTGAAACCAGAAATTTGTACTCTTTCCTCAGAATTTCCATAACCCTTTGTACATTTCCTCCCCTAAAATCTAAAAACCTGCCTCTTCCTTTTTTTCTTTCTCTTTGCCTCTTCCTTTTAATATCTTCCTAGGATAATAATCAATGATGTGTGAAT